TGAAGCCAGTCTGGACTCTCACTGGTTCTGAATCTCCGAGCTCGCTGGGGCTAATTCAGTATATACGAATTGATCTATTTCTATCAAAATTTCCTATTATCAGATACTTACGCTTTGTATAACGTGCCAGGATGCTGTAATTATGGATCCAAACATGCCCCGGCTATGCTTGTTTGTTTTTCAAGACCATATCTATATTTCTGAATTTCTCCAACATTAAACAACTGTTGTTAGATCCAATATGAACCTTGCACGCTGTGTAGCCTTTTTGGCATTGGGTTTTGTGCGTGTGTTTGTTTATTTGTTTTTTTGTTGCATTTGTATGGGCTGGGGCTATTCAAGATGAAATCAACCGAAGCAGGATTAATTGATTGTTTTTTCACTAACACAGTGAGTAGCGACTTAAGTGACCTACTTTTTGTTTGTACCATCAGCTACCGGTTTTTCCTGGTGATTTGATTGTGTGTGCGTGTGTGCGTGCGTGCGTGCGCGCGCGTGTGTATCTCCTTATTGATTAAATACCACACGACTACATCCTAATTACTATATTTAATCATGGTTAAACTTTCATAATGTTTGCACTGTAAACTGATCAACATGTAGATGCTTGATGGGCATTTAGAAGTTGGAAGATAACATAACAACGTATGGTATGGATTTACAACTTCTTTATTATTTACAACACGACGTTTCTGGGCTGCTTCTTAGTAACCCAGAAACGTCGTGTATTTATGATATTGAATATCTGCTTGATTTTATGGAATATTGAAAGGTTAATCCAAGTACATTGTATGTACGATTGCTTGTGCGATCTTTTAATTAGCATGATTATTTTCTCCAATTATCCATGGGATAGTGGAAATAGAGGAAAGATCGGAGGTATCTGTTCAAGGCGGTAATGCGTTGATACGTCCAGACCTCCAGATAACCTGCAGCGTTGCTTGAAATACTAAATCAATGCTTACTTAAAAGAACTTTGAAAAGTAAAACAACATTGTATGAAAGTGCTTGTGAGTAATGCAGCTTTAAGCAGGTTCCGATCACAAGTATTTTTAGAGCTGTTTAGTTATTGATTGAATGCATGAATCATGAATCAAGAACTGCATTGTATAATGCCTGGATGCGAAACATCTTGCAAACTGTAATGTTGTTGTCGGTTAACACCCAATAAACAGGGATAGGATAATAACATATCGCATATCCTAAACAACTATCAAACCTCGATGTGAATGACAACATTTAAGTCTGTAACATCTATAGCCCTGTTCTCCCACTCATATTTGTCTAAAGAACTGAGTGAGTGGGTGAGTTAAAATATTACATCGCATCGGCAGTATTACAGCCATATAGCGATGTAAACAAGGTAATCAATCTAAATAGCTGTCGACAAAGGACAGTAAAACAACTAGAATATCACAGATATAAATGAAAAACTAGTAATTAAATCTAAAACATTTTAACTATAGAGGACAACACAATATAAAAATAGGATATAGATCGCCAACAAGTAAAGGTAGATCACCATACCAGGGACGTCTAAAGAAACGAAGTTGAAACGAAGTGATTAAGCTGGTGACCTAATGGAAACCTGTCTGCTTGCATAACACTGTTTTGCTTAGTCAGGTCCTCGGTATGAGCCTTGATTTCAAAGACTTCAGCATATGTGAACAACACAATGTGAACCCAGTTTTTATGTGACCAGTTTGTTTTAGTACTGGTAACATGAGCATATAAAAAGTGTTCAAATACATACCCTTGATATCCGGAATGATGCACAAGGCTTTAAGCCATGAAAACATTTGAAAATTTACAAATGTTTCCCCACCTATGGAAATATTTATATTTCGAACCCAAGTAAACTTAGAAAAGAATCGGAAATTACATCACCTGTTACAATCAAAAGGAGTGTATTGGAAATACTGTGTATTTCAGAGGTATATGAGGGGTGTGTATATTTGTTGGTAAGATACCATAACCCCTTTCTGATCAGTGTGTCAAATCTTTAACAATGTATTAATGAGTGATAATAAATCAAGAAAACCAAAGTCGTAATATTTCACATTGTAAGCAGAAAAAATGGCACATCATAATGTCACTTGTAAACCTTCCATTAGGATGTCATTGTAATCCATCAGCTTTAAGGGTTTCACGGCATGTCAGTGCAGCTGGAGCGTGAAATGACACAAATATAAACAATATTGACACTTATCAAAACATATCTCCTACCAAAGGTATGTATGATCTTCAAATGATATAGCTGAATTATACAAACATAATTTTGGTAAAATTACCTTCAATTTGTAAACTTGATAAAGTTGCAAAAATGTTAAGACTAAACCGTTTCCGTGGACTTTCTTCAACGTCATATCTGTGCATGTAAAAGTCAATGTACAGGAGGTTGAACCTGTTGTGTACTTTAGCATGTGGATGTTGACTTGAAACATGTCCCCATGATCTTGACATTGTTGACATTGACTAACATGTCAACTTGGAATACACTATGACTATTAGGACCAATAGACACGAATTGATATGAAGGAAATGTTGCATGCGTTATGATGACATGACTGATTCATCATTCTTTGATGAGCAAAGAAAGACATCTGGAATAATAGAATTATACATTTAAGATCTTTCTCTTATGTTGTGTGATTTTAATGATAGTTCAGCAGTATCTTCGACATATTTGGTGTCGTTGACTATGTAAAGCATGGAGCTGTTACTGTTGAACAGACATTATATAATAGTTTGCTGATCTAAATACCAAGTACCAACTTTTGTTTCCTTGTAATGTTTTTATCATGCATACAGTGCCAACCAAAGCTTGGTCTTTTCAACTGCCCTTCTTCGTCAGACAGTTAATGAAACACCTGGGGCTTCTGAAAATGATAATGCCCTGAAAAATAGTGTTACCCTTAAATGAGTTTTATTCGTGCTACTTGAATAACACTTTGATTAGCACAATGAAGAAGTATGAAACACACGTAGACAAAACAACGAAACAGCATTCTGAAATTGTCTGGATTTTGATGACCTGGTTCCGGCGGCATTGTTTCCTTTGGGTGGCAATGTACGATTTGCCATTATGTGTGTTAAACGCGTTTCTCATCAATAGACGACCTCAGCTTTCACCCATTTTCACAGACTGCTTGCAGTTAACTTGTCATTGTTTTACTTCAGCACTCGTCTTCTTGCAACCATATGTTACATCACAATACATGTCCATGAAGGAATAAGAATAGAGTGTTGAAGCGCACGCTGTGACGACCTTGTAACAATGCTATCAGCATCGGGGCGATCGCTGTTTGAGGTTAGCTTGAGACTGAATACACAGCAAATACACAACAAGTTAGGTGTTTCCCATCGTTTATCGGTGGATAATATCCGAATGAGATAAGAAACACCTGTTGTCCGATATCAGCTTACCAAACGGAGGGAATTTGCTGTCAGCGTTTTACTGTGATATCGATGTTCACGGATGTTATCTTACCTGTACGTCCACCACACATCTACTACATAGAACAAAGAAGTCAAATGAAAGACACGTGCACTACCCAAAACAACGAAACTACATACAGCACACACGTGTACTACAGAACACAACGAAGTTACAAAACAACAAACGTGTACTACAGAACACAACGAAGCTACATAAAACACACGTGTACCACACAGGACAACGAAGCTACATAAAACACACGTGTACAACACAACACACCAAAGCGACATAAAGCACACGTATACCACACAAGACAACGAAGCTACATAAAACACACGTATACCACACAAGACAACGAAGCTACATACAACACACGTGTACCACACAAGACAACGAAGCCCCCTAAAACACACGTGTACTACAGAACACAACGAAGCTACATGAAACACACGTGTACGACACAACACAAGGAAGCTACATAAAACACACGTGTACTACAGAACACAACGAAGCTACATGAAACACACACGTACGACACAACACAAGGAAGCTACATAAAACACACGTGTACCACAGGACACAACGAAGCTACATAAAACACGCGTGTACCACACAAGACAACGAAGCTACATAAAACACACGTGTACTACACAAGACAACGATGCTACATAAAACACACGTGTACGACACAAGACAACGAAGCTACATAAAACACACGTGTACTACAGAACACAATGAAGCTACATAAAACACGTGTACTACACAACACAAGGAAGCTACATAAAACACACGTGTACTACAGAACACAATGAAGCTACATAAAACACACGTGTACCACACAAGACAACGAAGCTACATAAAACACACGTGTACTACACAACACAACGATGCTACATAAAACACACGTGTACGACACAAGACAACGAAGCTACATAAAACACACGTGTACTACAGAACACAACGAAGCTACATAAAACACACACGTACGACACAACACAACGAAGCTACATAAAACACACGTGTACTACAGAAAACAACGAAGCTATATGAAACACGCGTTTACTACAGAACACAACGAAGCTACATAAAACACACGTGTATTAAAGAACACAACGAAGCTACATGAAACACGCATGAAAAACAAATGTTTAACATTTCTACACGGAGCTCTATGAAATACACACAGCACAATCACTGACTGACTGAGTTTAGTTTTACGCCGCTTTTTTTAGCAATATTCCAGCAATATCACGGCGGGGGACACCAGAAATGGGCTTAACACATTGTACCCATGTGGGGAATCGAACCCGGGTCTTCGGCGTGACGAGCCAACGCTTTAACCACTAGGCTACCCCACCGCCCCACAATCAACTTTGCAATTGATACATTGATCAAGTGAAATAAATCAGTCCATTTCATTGTGTTGAGTGTTGATGCTTCATGTCCTGGTAAAGACATGCAATACCGGTCACGTTATTTTCTGCCCGATTAGAGATATGTGGCATTTGCATGTGTGTCCGAGAGTTGATATTGACGAAAGTAAGCAATCCACATCCGGCTACAACACATGTTGCACACTCCAGTTTCGATTGAAAGCTAGTCCATTGCGTGTAGGGTTATGATCCATCAGATAGACATCAACGAGCCAACAATATAGTTAGAACACCTATGTACAGTCTGTAAACCCACATCATGAGGAAACGTGTAAATATGTTACTGTGGGCAGTCCTCGCAGTTCTTTGGTTTCTTTTCACTACAGTATTGCTCTTTGGAATACTTGCTAACATGGCCACCCATGACACACAGGAAGAGGAGAAAGAAGAGACACGCATCAAGAAGAACCTTCTTCAGACGAGGAATTACACCACTAAAAGGTATGTGACATACAAGGGACATCTTAGACTCGCATGAAAAAATCAAGAATTGCCATAGAAACACAAGAGCCAAAGACAAGCAGCTATTCAACAAATAACTTGTTAGCATACTTACTGAAATTTTAAATGTGTCTATTTTCTTCCAATTCACCCAAATGTCTAACATACAGTAATACAATATAACTTCCTTTAAGTATCAACTGTCCCCTGGACTACTGCATCCCTCACCAACAAATGGTATGATAAAACTATCTGAGGGAGCCGTTTTTCAATATCACATTGACGCTTCAAATATATTTACATGTATTCAAATTAATATAGAAGTGTGTCTGGGAACAACTTTCTCCGGACGGCCCTATTCCAGGAGATCATCATAGTTGTTCCTAGGGTTCACTGTCTGGATGTACATGCATCAGGATACCAGGTTATATTCATGTGCTAGGTTATACTTGTAAACATTTGACCCGTGAAGATCCGGGTTATAATTGATCTTCATTAACCCATGCCTGTTGTAAGGGACGACTAACGGGGTCGGGTGGTCAGGCCCTGACTTGGTTGACACATGTCATCGAATCCCAATTGCGTAGATCGATGCTCATGTTGTTGATCACTGAATTTTCTGGTCCAGACTCGATTATTTACAGGCCGCCGCCATATAGCTTGAATATTGCTAAGAGCGGCGTAGAACTAAACCCATCCACTCACTCACTGTAAACATATACTTTGCAAATACTATTTACGTGACAACAAAAACGGATTGCCCAGACAAGGTTTATAAGCCTCTCCCTTGTCAAGGGAATGCAGTGTATGTAAACGTTCTTTCTGTGTCTACATATTGATATGTAGGCTGGTTGGTTGCAATCAGAGCCCAGATTGTTTATAGGTCAGAATAATGTGAGCATGGGTTAATTAAATTGATTACATGCAGTGACTCAGACTTCAGAGCTATTTATAATGACCTTTTATTAGTATGAAAAAGGTTAATATCAGAGCCGAACTATGCACACAAACGTTACATGTGTTGTGAAATTATACGTGCAAGGCGACCCATAATTTACTAAACTCCAAGAGCCAAATATTATTTTGAACATTTGCGTCAACATTGCATCTTTGATTAAATTTACATTTAGTTTTTAATAAAGATCAAATGCGTATTTTTAGGTGTATTTAAGAGTGAAAAAAATGATTTTAGGCAGAGTTTTGACTAGGTAAAAGGGCATATTCATGACGTAACGACACACAAACCACCATCTGTTTCATAATATGCCAGACCTTCACATGTGCTGAACACGCGAATATGTAATGATATTTAGCAGTACAAAGTTGGATATTCGTTAACACCTTTCATGGCATCAGTAGGCTGTCGTGATACTCCATGTATTCGAAAGGTGCATCATATTATCTTGTAAAGATGCATAACCTAAGATTATTATATTCCAGTTACATTTGTCATTACTATTATCAATATTTCGAAACATGATATGAAATGAAGATATTGATATAATTCCAACCGAGCAAAAAAGTATTTCTCAGATTTGTATCATTTGTTAAAATATGACTGTAATTTCTCACACAACAAGTATTTCATTAACAAGTATATTTGCATACAAAATATATATCCATATTCGTTAATGATTCGATCTCTATTACCTGACAAATACAAGGCCCGATCTATATGTATAGTTACCCGGATATCCATACATTTCTGTTTCCCACACGTGTTGCCCGGATGTTTAAACAGATGGTGAACCAATAGAAAGTAATCAAACCACGGAACACCGTCCTCGCTGTTGTCAGGATAGGTATTACTCATTATTTGAGCGCCACGTACTACCGGATTTGGATACTGCCAGATATATTGTCACAGTGGAGCAGTGGTGATAGCACCGGAATGTATTATCTCGATTTCATTCAATATAAAAATAAGGCGATAAAGCTTTATTACTCACAAATAGGTCCTGTACCACCCAGTGAATAATGCTTAAGAGAGAGAGAGAGAGTTTTATTCAGTAAAGGGACCACAGGCCCATTACACATCAGGTGAACAGAATATACAATCATAAGAGCACCTTACATCATGAGAGCTGCACAATTATACATTTGTTGGTACGAAGACTGAAAGAAATTTATTTCGGTACTTTGATGGCAAAAAAATAGATATTTTGCAAGACAATTTATAATATAAGTATTCTTTGATGTAAACAACTGAGCTAATTTCACTTCAGATGGATATATGTGATAATATTTAGGGAGGATATCATTTCTTAATTTCCCATAAAAAGGCCATTCTATATTAGGTATGATACAAAGCGGGCACAGGCGATCCTCCCTTTTAAGACCTAAATGTCTACCGTACTCTATCATCAAATTGTGGTTTGAGCAACGAAATCTACTTAAGAAGATTCGAAACTGTTTTACACTAACACTATCGATATAGAACTCAAAAGCTACACCTTCTTTGAGCCTGCGATAAAAATCCAATTTTGAAACAAGTATAATACGAGATGACCACAACTGGTTATCTATATTAATACATCGTTGTTTAAATAATGATATAAAAGTAGAGAAAAAAAATATTTCCAACACTTAGACTGGCCCACACATTGCCAAAACCATAACTGTACAAAAGAGATTTCACCTTAAAGCCCAACAATCTATATCTTTTTCAGCACGACCATACTGATACTCATATACCTTATTTAAGATTACATTCTCAACTTGAGACAGGAGGCGAACCCAATATTTAACATTCTTAATGTACTCATTTACCTTTAATGAATAACGACCAATCTCAGCACTATTTGGCGTGTATCTTGAAAGACCCAAAACCTGTTTACAGAACCTATCGTGTACATTCAATACAGATGGCGACGGGTGGAAACCCCAGACTTCACTTCCGTATAGTAACAATGGCAAAACCTTGACATCAAATATATGGAGCATAACATTAATTGGTAGATTATAAAAATTCTTAACCGATGATTTGAGAATATTCAACACCTGCCATGCTTGGTCAGCCAAAGTTTTCTGTGTAACATACCATGATCCAGAGGAAGAGAAGTGAACACCCAAGTATTTATATGATGCAACAAATTTCAAACAACTGTCCATTCAAATGGAACTTTTCGTAATGTCTTAGTCGACTAGCCTTCCTGAATACAATAACTTTAAATTTACTTTAATCAATATTTATTTTCAATTTCCACTTGTTACAATACGAAACTAGCTTGTCTAGCCTCTTTTGCAGACCTATAACTGTAAAGTCAAAAAGCGCAATATCATCAGCAAACAATAGGATGAACAGCTCAACTAAGTCTAGATTGATACCCCTCTGACCATCAGCAGATAGACAATCAACAATGTCGTTGACAAAGAAGGAAAAGAGAAAGGGAGACAACTGTCATCCCTGACGAACTCCTGATAAACAATCAAAAAACGGTGTGTAACCATCTCTCATCGACACACAAGCTTTAACATTTTGGTACATATTTTTCAATAGCCTGTAGGTATTACCTTTCACATTGCCAAGCCACAGTTTGTAAAGGAGACCAAACCTATCAACTGAGTCAAAAGTGGCCTTCAAGTCAATAAATGCACAATAGAGGCAACCTTTGTGAAGTGAAAGATATTTATCGATTATAGCATTAAGAATGAACATATTATCATGTGTTTGGAAACCATACCTGAACCCAGCTTGCTCGTCAATGAAGAATTATTCCCTTTCAGCCCAAGAGTTTAACCTGTTGTTGATAATTTCACAAAATATTTTACCAGTTACTTCAAGCAGCGTAATAGGTCTATAATTACCAGGGCAATCAGTTGTACCTTTCTTATACAAAGGAATTATAACTCCATACGTCCACTGAGATGGATAAATACCTGTAGACAAAATGCTATTAAAAAGTGATTTCAATAAATCAATACAATGATGAGGTGCATTTTTTAAAAATTCAATTGGAATGCCACTGAGTCCTGGTGCTTTACCATTATGCATTTCTTGAATAGCATTAACTATTTCTTGGTAGGATATTTCTTTATCCAAATAGTCATTGTCCACAGATGAATCAATAAGTTTATCACTGATTGAATCAACAAAATGTTTGACAAAAATATAGAAGTGTTCTTCATCGGCTGAACAATAGGAAGACTGAAAAACATTCTTGAAATGATTCATCCAGTCAAATGGTGTAATATTATTGTTTACAAATGATGATTTCGATTTCACAGTTCTCCAGAATAATTTACTGTCTTTAGTAGAGAGTGCGTTACTAAGTTTATGTGTGTAATCTGAAAATGATGAAGACAGTTTCGCAACACATAAGTGTTTATAGTGTGACACACACTTGACATAACGTTGTCTATCAGATTTACAGTTACTTGCTTGAAATGAACCCAGAAGGCGCCGAGCGGCATCACGTGCACTCTTGCATTCACCGTCATACCATCTGTCTCCCTTTGGAACATTATTTGTCGACAATGCACTAGATTTACAGAAACTGGCACATGGTTGCATAACCGTATTAAAAAGTGACGATGCCTCTTGAACATCACCGTTATCAATAAAGGAATGAAACTGGTTTATAACATCGGGTGGTAATACATCCCAGTTGTGCAGGTATTCTAGTAAACAGTTATTGTTCCATCGACATCTAGTTTTAGATGAAATATTGTAGAAACGTTCATTGTTATTCAGTGTCAATGAAAACGAAAATGTTATTGGCAGATGAGTCGACTCAACTTCATCGGACACTTTAAAATCCTCAAAAAGTTCAAAGGCATAGTCCGAACAAAGCACATAGTCAACAACACTTTGTCCATTATTGGCAAAACATGTTATGTTACCTTTACCTTTATCATGAAGTAGACGGCCGTTACATATTCTCAGGTCCACTGTTTTGCAGAAGTTCAATAGGGCATAGCCACGTTTGTTGATCACAGTATCACGTGATGCACGTGGTTCGATGGCGTCGTCGGTTATATAATCTATGTCATCATCAATCGGAGATACCTCGGGTCATCATTAACAATATAATCTTTGTAACATCCATTCCCAGTGCGTGCATTCAAATCACCTTGAATTATAATTCTACAGTCAGGTTCATTTGATCTGAATTTGTTTACATCATCTCCCAAAAGAGTAAATATAGGTTCATCAGCATGTGCACTGGAACTTGCAGGAGAATAGTGAACAACACCTATAAATATGGAAAAGTGATAAACTGGTACACGCACACGTAACCATAGTATGTTGTTACTTTCCGTCGAGATTAATGACACAAATTCTGAGACAGCGTCGGCGATTAATATAGTTATTCCACCCAAATTTCTAAAGGCGTTGGCATGTTTTTGTCTACACTTCCCAAACACTGTATGTCCTTGAAACAATAACTCCTCACTTTCATCTGACCACGTCTCCACGAGAGATATAAAGCTGAATTTTTTCAGAAAGTTGATGATATGTTCCCGGCAAATTTCTTCTTTAGACCTTCTACATTCCACAGAACAGCAGTCCAGGACTTGGTTACTGCACGTGGGCCTTGGCCACGCCCCTATTTGTTAGAGTCAATATCAGGAGATCGAAGAGGGAATGTTTTGAACAGAACTAATTCATCTTCAGTATCGTTTAGTCGATAAAGTTTGTTTTCAATTTAGATTTAATCACCTTTAAGAGTAGAGAATTTACCTTTGTTCCTGGCCTCGGTCATGAACCCTTTGAGTTTTTGCCTGGTAGACCGTACTTTTTCCGTGAAATCCTGTGAAATGGAGATACCGTGTCTTTTAAGAAGTTTGGCTGACTGTAAAATCCTTGTCCTGTGTCGGAAGTTGAGGCAGGTAACTAGCACCGGTCTGGCACCACGTGACTTCGAAGGAAGGCGAACGACACGGTCAAATTCTCTTATGTCTGTGATACTCATTTTGTTCTCTATAACATCGAGAACTTTATTTCTAACGTCTTCGTTTGATTCTCCAGATGTCTCTTTGATGTTGTACAGTATCATGTTGTTCTCTCTTGAGTTATTGTCTAGATGGTCAATTTATTTGTTAAACGTTTCACAGTTGTTTTTAGTTCCTCGTTTTCTTCTGTGAGTGTTACCACATCCTGTTCTAATTTTGTTATTTGACCGAAAGGTTTCTCAAATGTTTTCTGTGTCTCTCGTCTCACATCCCTAATTTCTTTTAACGTTTCGGAATCACAAACCTCTCCCTCAATAGTTGTTTGTCTTCGTGGTCCTCGGTTTGACTCAATATCGTTGGAAAGGACGAGTAGCAACGACAAGAGCAGGACAATGTGAAGATAGAGTCTAGGTCCCGCGGGCACGTGCAGCCCGTGATCTCGGATGGCGGCTCGTCTCGCTCTCACCGACATTAAGGCCATAAATACGCTTAAAAAGCATCAAATTCTGGCTCGAAATGTTTCGTTATCACATCCCATCGTAATTGCATACACTTGTACACGTATTTGGAGTGAAATTACAAGTCCAAACTTACGTTTAGGGCACTTTTCAAGCACTTACACGGAGCACTGCAAATACAAGGCCGACCCGTATAACCACTAGGTGGCGCCTGCTTAATGCTTAATATAAACATTTCAATGAGACATTATTTGATGAGAGAGATTTACGAACTAATGTTATTACAGTAAATATCAACTGAAATATTAGTTGATCATAGTTCAACGCAAATCAGGACAAACATATTGAAATTTGCAGGCGAAATAATTATTACGATCATTTAAAACACATATCGCGGGATATAAAGGTTTGTTGTGGCATGGAACATAACAGTCAGGTGTGACAGAAAAAACTCGGTATGACAGACAGTTGTAACAAATCACAGTGTATGACGGTCATGTGTGACGTACAATCACATGCATGACGTAACAGTCAGGTGTGACATAAATAAGAAAATATAACTGTTTTTGACACGAAACAAGATATAACACTTAGGTGTGACACAAAATACATGAAATAAGACTGAGGTATGACACATATGACAGGATAGAACAGTTAGATGTCACATATGTAAGAATAAATCAGTGAGTGAGTGAGTGAGTGAGTGAGTTAATATTTAACGTCACATCGGCAGTGTCTCAGCCATATCGTGACGAGAACGTATTTGACATTTAAATGGAATATATGTATATGATAAAAACCTGTCTACGAAGGACAGTAAAACAACTAGAATATCACAATTACAACTAAAACTAGTGTGGAAAGTTAAAACTAATATTTGGACAATACAATATAAAAACTGGCTATAGATCGCCAACAACTGAAGGTAGATCACAAAATTAGGGAGCATGGGGACTTACATTACTTTTGCTACCTGTATGGACCCTAGCTGGATTTATATGATCCCTTCAGCCGCTGGCGATTGAAGTCAAATTGACCCAAAATTAAAATGAAAAGACATTTAAAACAGCTGGTACACTTACATTTCCTTACGTATCCTCGCAGGAGGACAATAGTTTTACGCAACTTCAACCCCCTTTGAGGGTACAGCAACTAACAATCTCAGTTACTAATCTAAACTACCCATAATAAAATATGTATCAATTTACAAATCAGTTAACAAGTCTAATTCTTTTAAAAATGCAATAATTAAATGAGAACTTATATTAGTAAAAAGATCCTTCATGGTTCGTGATTTGAAATAGTTATCCCTGTAAGAATAAATTAAGTCATCTACCATGCGGGTTGAGGAGCGGTTTGGTAGCCTAATGGTTAAAGCGTTCGCTCGTTACGCCGAAGACCCGGGTTTCATTTCCCACTTGGGTACAATGTGTGAAGCCCATTTCTTGTGTCCCCCGCCGTGATATTGCTGGAATATTGCTAAAAGCGGCTTAAAACTCACTCACTTACACACCATGCGGGGTGCGCCGTACAACACTATGTGAGTTGTAGCATTGATTATAGATGTTCAAGAATATATAAATGCAACATATTCCTCAAGTACTTGAAAATAACACACCATGGCATTTTCATGAAAGCAAGTCGATAGTTTGAACTACAACAACACGGCTGATCGACCTTGGAAACAGCCTGTACCTGTGTCGATTGATGACGTTTAGCAAAAGAATAGATGTAAATGTCCTTGAGCACGAGCACGATTTCACCAATGGACATAAACACGTTCTGGAATGATTTCCAGAAAAATAAACAGCACATGGCTGTATAGAATGTATATAGCACATGCCTCAGGGTTGACTTTGACTGTTGATATTGAGAATTGTTTAAAAATCGTTTATATACAATGTACAACTGTATTATACAAATAGGTTCACAGTGTGAAGCATTCAAACAGCAAAGACGTGATATACAATGTACAACTGTATCATACAAATAGGTTCACAGTGTGAAGCATTCAAACAACCAAGACGTGATATACAATGTACAACTGTATTATACAAATAGGTTCACAGTGTGAAGCATTCAAACAGCAAGAACGGGATAAACAATGTACAACTGTATCATACAAATAGGTTCACAGTGTGAAGCATTCAAACAGCAAGAACGGAATATACAATGTACAACTGTATCATACAAATAGGTTCACAGTGTGAAGCATTCAAACAACAAAGACATGACATACAATGTACAACTGTATCATACAAATAGATGTACGAATTAATACAAAATACACATCATGAGTTACAAAATAGAGTGACAGTACAAATTCAATGACAGTACAATTAACACTGGCTAGATAAACACGCTGAAAAATGTTGTCCTCAATAGCACATGGACTAATTGTAACGTGAGATGATATAGGCATGTGCTTTCCCCGTGTTGGCATTAAATATCTTCTAGAATGTTTTATATATTCTAAACAAGTCTCAATATATATAGTAACCGGCTTACCATTGCATCTACTGCTTCTTAACAAAACATTTACACACATCCTGAACTCAAGCATTGTTCAACACTAGTTTGCCATTGTACAGTTCACACTAATTCTTTTATCATTTCAGGTTGATCGACACGCTGTTGGAAGAGAAATCAGCAAAAGATTATACGTTTACTAGATATTCACTTGATGTTCAAAAGTCGGGTAGGCTTCATGCACACTTAACTAAAATGTTGAAAACACACAAGCGACCAAAGGATAGTTTTTATAGTTTTAATGTCACAAAAAGTGAAGAGCTCTCGGTCACGCGAGATGTGATTGACGAGAGACCAGATGAGTGCAAGAAAAGGATGTTCAACTACTCGGCACTACCAACTCTGTCGGTTGTCACTCCGCTCTACAACGAGGCTCTCACGACATTATTACGTCATGTGTACGCAATTTTAAATCGGACACCTCCGCAACTTCTCAAAGACATTATATTAGTGGATGACAATAGCACCTTGTCCTATCTTGGGGCGGACTTTCAGGAATATTTAAGAATTCTGGATTCAAAAATTCGAATAATTCGAAATACAGAACGTAAAGGGTTGATATTGTCGAGATTGGAAGGAGAGGAAATGACGGAAGGGGACGTGGTTGTATTCATGGACGCTCACATGGAGGTATGTGAGGGATGGGCGGAACCTCTTCTAGAGAGGATTCAGAGTCAATCTGCAATTGTAGTGCAAGCTGACATTGCTGCAATTGACGGCGATACATTCAACCTGTACACAGGTTTCAAGGTCAAATTCAGAGGAGGATTTGGATGGGATACGAGGTGAGATTTACGTTCCTTACATGAAACATCATGTCATCTTATAGCACGTTGTAGAACATATAAATGGTGAGGTGAAATGGTTTTAACGCCGTGCTTGAGAATATTTGGCTCATATGACGACGTGCATGCGTGTGTATGTGTATGTGCGGCTATTTGTACTAGCCCAGACTTATAGTGCTAGCCCACTGACATACCACGCCGCAGTGAAGCATGAATACCCCACTCAGACACATTATACTGACTCTGAGACGACCAGTCCTTGTTGTACCCATTAATGCCGAGCGTAAGGCAGGGACCAACAAGTACCATATTTTAACGTCTTTTGGTATGACGCGGTCGGGGATCGAACCCGCGACCTTCCGCGATCCGGGCGGACGCTCTAACCACTACACCACGGAGGTGGTCTACATATAAAAGGTCGTTAAACAAGGAGTTATTAATTACACATGCATGCTCGCATAAATATTTCCCCATTAACTAGCTAATTAGAAGCAAATACGACCCAACCTTGATCTTTGTTGTAAAATTTATTCCTTGGAAATTATTCATGTCCATCGTGTTTGCTCCGATATAGGTACAGCTGGTTACCGCTGCCGACTTACCACAGCCAGTTCCGAAACAGTGAATGGGATCCAATTCCTGTTCCCGTCCTTCAAGGTTCCTGCATCGCAATCAGCAAGTCGTATTTCCATACTGTCGGACGCTTCGATGACGGCCTTGAGATCTGGGGAGGGGAACATTTTGAATTGTCTTTCAATGTATGGATGACTGGAGGTAGAATCGAAACTATCCCCTGTTCAAAGGTGGGTCACATCTTTAAAAGCAATAAGTACAGCTTTGGTCAAGCAAAAGACAAGAATTATATCGTTGCAAAGAACAACCTGCGTGTGGCTGAAGTTTGGATGGACGGATATAAATCCATTGTCCGTGCTGCTGTCAAAGCCTGGCAGAACCCGGTACCTGTCTTCACTGACGCTGATTGGATTTCAATAAGAAAAAGAAAGGAAATGAGATTGAGACGTAAAAGTGAATCATTCAGCTGGTACTTGAAGAACGTCATACCTGAATATAAGATTCCATCAAAAGACGATTCCTTTTTCGGAGAAATTCAAAACGCGGAGACCAAGAACTGTTTTTTCGTTTATGATGACGAATACATAGGAATGACATCCAAATGTGAAACATTTGTTATCATTCCAGAAAATACATTTGCCTTCGATAATTTCGGAAGGTTAAAATATGGAAACAGGTGTGTTGGATACGATAGAATAACGTATTTACTTTGGGTAACTGAGTGTCCGTGTAAAGATGGACGAAAGGATGGGATAAGGTGGTCCTTCACCAGAGATCAGCTTGTGATGACGGAGAAGTCGGAAACGTTGTGCGCAACGCAGGCCAACTCGGGCTTCAGTATTCATCAGGGAAAGGAAATAGTTCAATTGCAGACGTGTGATAAAACACGCAAAGTCCAAAAGTGGTCGTTCCAGTTTCATTTTGTGTATAAGTGAGCCAGACCATGAACTGTCGTATAGGTATTGGTCGTCTGGTATTGGTAGTCTGGCATGGGCTTTGCTCGTGCTGAACCACGGCAGTGCGGAGCATGAGATCGTGTACAATGTAGGGGAAACGGTGACGAGGTTCTTGTTCATCCAGTTTAGCGTGGGAAAAGGGAGTGATTGACTGTGCCTTCAGGAATACAATTGTTAAGTACCCACATCAAGTGTTGCTCCTGTTTCGCTGATTGAGTGGATCAATAGATCTGAATTGAAGAGGTATATTTACACGGTGTTACGAGGCGTTGTTCAAATTCAAATGTATTACATATGTATGCATATATACATGTACATGCATGAATGCGTTTGCGTGCTTGTGCGCGTATGTGGTGCACATGTGTGTGTAGCGTAGTGCATAGTGTCGTGTAAAGTGTTGTGTATAGTGTCGTGTAAAGCATCGGGTGTATTGTTGTGTATGGTGTCGTGTATAGTTTCGTGTATAATGTCGTGTTCAGTGTTGTGTGTCGTGTCGAGTATACCGTCGGGTGTATTGTAGTGTGTAGTGACGTGTCTTGCGTCGTGTATAGTTAGGAGATAAACCTACTGTGAAATTAGAGGTTGTATAACGAAATTATAATAACTCTGAATTGGATTTAAAACCGAACAGCTTGTGTAATTGTGATGTAGGGCTACTACCGTTTCATTTTAAACAGTATATATTTCTCGTAAATATATTCTTTTGTTTGAATTAATAACAATACTGTCTATATTTATGTGGACGGACGGCCTTTCTTCGATGTTAATGCATCCTTATCGGATCAGGATCAGTGGCCATATCGTCAAAGAAATGTGATAATAAATTTTATATGAAAGTATGTAACAGTCGATTGCTTGATTGATTTTGACATAGAATCAATGTAATTTTTCAATGTGTTTTCTTGCTATTTGTTTCCGGGAAACAGACGATGTTTTGGTCTTTTTCGACAAAATATTTCTTTCTTTCCTTGTGAAGTAATAATGTATGTATTATCACCTATCGTTTGGAAAAAATGAAACGCTTGATCTTGTAGACATTTGGAGAGAGCTTAACAATGATTTAAGAAGCATAAATGGTGTAAAAACAACCTAAACAACAAGCAAGACTGAATTTCTTCTTAAAGGAGAATATTAGACAATTCCAATACTTTTTCTGGGTGAAAGACAAAGTCATCAGAAACATGTACTCCGATTTTTTATTCAAACATATGGTTGCTTATGATTTAATTGCGAAATCAGTTTGGGTTATCTGAGCTTCGGCCGTTATGCATATTCCGCTGGAACTCACGCGACCTTTCCTCTCGTGACGTCATATTTGACTAGAGTCAGCCATATTGCCAAAGACCAAGCGCTACAGTGATACAAATCGTGTGAAAGGTACGATGGCGTATTGTGTTGCACGGGGATGCACGGCATCATCCAACAATGGAAAGAACCACAATTTCTTCCTTAAAAAGCAAAGTAAAAAGACAGATTTAGGCAGGAGAAATTTCCCGATCGAGTCGGGCGCATATGAAAGAGACATGCACACATAGGGTATGAAAATCCAAAACCAAGGCTGAAGAAGGAAGCAGCACCCACGAGATTCATTTATACTTCATCATTCCATGTAACAACCTACTGTCAGTGGTATTTTGTAACATAGATTAAATCAAGTCCGATTGTGATGGGTGGTAGTCAAAATAACCCAATTTATTTAAAATGATTAAATATATGACATAAATGCATTATTTTTTTACTTAGATATTATGTTCTTTATATAAAAGTTATATATATAGTTATGAATTTACTAATGCAACATTTATGAGAAATATTTCTTCCTAATAACCTTTATATGAAGAACATAATATCAAAGTTGACAAAAACTATGCATTTATGGTATATATTTTACTCATTTTAAATACATTTGACCAAATCAGGATCAATGACCAAATTGTTTGGGGCCTTTTGTAGCTGGGGCAGTTACACTAGTACCCATGATATACATATTATCAAAATCAGTAAGAGATTTCATATAAGTTTCAAAATGTTTCGCTATATAACATTCGTTCCGATTTGGAGCCCTAAATAGTGTGCACGGTCTACCCGAAAAATTGCCAAATACAACCGTAAATCATGAAATAGTTGTTACATTCATTGTTTCCTTTTTTTTTTCCAATTACGCACGTCGGCATCAGACTCGCTATTTGCCAGTAGTCTGTGCCGAGAAAGTTGATCTGTATTTCATTGGCTGACAAGATGTCATTCTAACGTTTTGACCGAGCACCATAACTATTTGCATTAAGCTAAAACTAGGGAACATATACATTGTCCTGACTAGTATTTTATAATTCACCAGTTTCGGGGAATAACTTATCTGCGTCGCTTATGTTATCTCAACTCGACCAGGTTGGGATCTTGTATTGAAACTTGATATGTTATTAATGAAAACTAGGATCTTAATTTTTTTTCAACAAAATAATTCCAGTGTATTTTTTCCAGCAGATAATTTCCATTTTCCCCGTTTGAAGCATAATCACTTTTTGTGATTGTTATCACATTTCAAACACATTTTCTTAGGGACTGGTCATTAATTTATAGGGTTAGTTGTGCTGATTGGACTGTATCACATTTTGCTGACAAATAATATTTCTGATATATTATATGGTCTATTTTTTAAAATTATTTTGACATCAAGCATTGCCTCCGTTTCCCTTGATTCTTCTTCATCTTCACTGCAAGATTGTCTTGCAAGATGTAAAATCGGACTGACTGACTGACTGAGTTTGGTTTTACGCCGCTTTTAGCGATATTCCAGCAACATCACGGCGGGGGACACCAGAAATGGGCTTCACACATTGTACACATGTGGGGATTCGAACCCGGGTCTTCGGCGTGACGAGCCAACGCTTTAACCATAAGGCTACCCCACCGCCCTGTAAAATCGGATCGTATTGATACGGTCTAATATCCATTTCAGAAATGACATCAGGAACATCTTTTATTGCATCAGAATCCACAGACACTGTTAAGTTGTGAGGTAAAATCAAAGTGAAAGCCATCAGCAACAGGCACACATGACGTCATGTCACTTGATACCTACTCTGCTCATTAACTGTCGGGGTTTTCCGTAATAGGCGGAAATACGAGTACATTTTTGTGCGTGTTTATTGCGATTTTACAAACTTTTTGTTCAATTTTACTCACGGAAGGTGACTTTTAGGATGCCTTTACCCATATGAAAAGTTTGTTTTCGTTAATATTCTCACAGGATTTGTTAATGTTACACTTGATTCTGATATCTTACCTGGATATAAAACAGATTCATTCAGCTATTAGCTTTACTTTCTCCAACACTATAAATCAGGAAAGAGGGCGGGGTTATTGGAAATTTAATACTTCCTTACTTTTACATCCAAAATATGCAGATTCAGTTAGATCAATCCTGAAGGAAACAGGAGTCGAATGCTCAGATAGTAATAGCAAGGTGGAAAGCATAAATGATTCTGAATTTGCAAGGTTAATGAATCAATTTCTTTTTCATCTTTTCTCAAAAAGAAAACAAGAGATAAGACCAATGAATTAGAAATTAGAATTAAAGATAGTGAAAATACACTTAGAAAAGATTTTCATACAATAGATGAAACCTTACTTTCGGTACTTGCAAAACTGAAATTGGAATTGCAGCAGATTGAAGAAGAAGAAATGAGAGGAATTCAGAATCAGAATCTTATGGGATGACGATGTACAGAAAGCGATAAAAGTTTTCTGAATTTTGAAAATAGAAATTATATCAGCAAATCAATAAACAAAATTATTCCGGATAAGGGTGAAGAAATTACAGAGCGATTCAATCTTAAATGAACATCAGGATTTTATATATATATAAAAAGGAGAGAGACAGATTCGAAAAAGACATTGAGTAAATAGCATGAAAAAGATCAAAAGTCCAATAACAAATGGATTTCCAATAGATTTCTTTAAGTACTTTTGGAAAGATATGAAGGTTTGGATTTTCTGATTTATTAAAGATGTTTCTGAAAGAAATAAGGTGTCTCTTACCATGAAGAGAGGAGCTATCACTTGTTTACCAAAAGGTACTAAAAACAGAAACCAATTAAAGAACTGGAGACAGATTACTTTATTAAATGCTCTGTATAAAATAATAAATGTCTGTACCTCTAACAGACTGAAATGACCTTAAATTCTCTAATACGTGATGACCAGACTGAATTTATACCAGGTAGAACATCAAGCGAAAATACAAGATTACTGTATAATATTATGTTTGTTTGTTTGTTATGTTTGTTTATGTTTGTTTGTTTGTTTATGTGACTTATTATGCAACCTCATGTGTTATTCAGAATGAACATGTATCTGATTTCTTCCTTAACGAGCAGGGTTGCAGATAAGGTGATCCACTATCACCATGATTACACAATGCCATTTATAAAGTGGTCGAATGGAACTTATGTTACATGAGTAAGGTACAGGTTCTAGTACTATTTGTTCGCAGCTGACTTTGTGTGCTGGCGATTAGGTGCCTGACTCTGAGGGTGTGAGTTCGAATCCCCGATTGGACACAACTCAACAAAAAGTACTAGAATCTGTAATGAACTTCAAATTTGGATTAATCAAAACATACAGGAATTGCAATTGACAAAATTACACGTTTGGTTTGGAACTCTAAGTACTAACCGACTATTTTATTAAATAATACTTTCCGCTAAAAGACACATCTATATTTGACAAAAAACATCCCAAATAAGAAAACCTTATAAAGATTTTAAAAGACATATTCATGGTTGAACAAATAACATACATTCTTTGCGCCGCCTCAACCCCCTTTAAAGGTACAGCCAATAACAATAAAAGTTGTTTTTGCATTCGTCCAACTTAAATATTTACTTACTATTACCACTAAATATTCTTTGCAAAATTGATGGATGAAATCAATTTCTTTTTAAAAAACAGTAACTAAATGCGGGCAACTAAAACGATCATTCATGGATGAAACCTTGAAAATGTAATGGAAAAATCAATACAGTCAAAATAAAGATGCTTGTCTGTGCTTCTTTCATCACAAGGGATACAAAATGGAGGATCCTCACCTTTCAACAATTCATGAGTATATCAAAAATTCCAATGCAGAATTGTTTCAATATGACGTCTTCAAATCTGGACTTACAATCCAAGTAGATATAATGTCGCGTAGTTTATTGCTACCAACTTGGGTGTCCCCTTCCTTTTCGTACGATCCCGGGTGTAACATCTGATGACTGGTCTATAATGACGGTATGGGACAAGAAGTGATGTAAAAAATGTTGTAAGAGCTGTCTTCGCAGCAGCAGAATCCATTGTGTTACCCAGTCTGCCAACATGACTGGGTAACCAACAAAAGAAAACATCGTAATGGCCAGTTGAAAGATCTAACGCCGTCGGTTCGAAATGAATTCCCGTGCTTCAAATACTCAATAACATCCGGAAATTGGCCAACACATCATGTTTATCTCCTAATTATATAGCTCTAAATTTCTGAAATAAGTGGATGAGCAGAAGACAAATTATTTAATGCCTGAAGACATGGAAGAGATTCAGAAAATATTATAAACTGTTCATACACAGACTGTCTTTGAATGTTGTATAACAAGGCGGTAAGGATAGCATGGGATCCAGCAGTGAACATTAGTTTTTGTCTAGTATTCTGGAAGATAATTGTTTTGTTCCAATAACAGTGGCACTAGCTACTTTGACACCATCGGTAAATATCGAACTGTAAAAATTGTATTTACTTAGCAATTGTAAGCAGTCCTGTTGATAAATTTTATTGGTTTGTTTCAGACTTTTTCAAACTTTTTCG